ATATATATATATATATATATATATATATATATATGTGCATAACATCCTGAATGAAATCCTATTCAAAGGTGGTCAACACAGATAAGGGAAAACCCGATCAAGAACTACTAGCTGTTTTTCGTAAGACTTAAAACTTATGCCGAATGCTACTTAGTTCCAAAAGCGCAGATTATTTCTCCATTACCAATGTGGAGATGTTCGAGAAGACAACGAGATCTAAGCTTGATCCACCTGCATCATCCCTAACTCAACTAGTAATAAATGTTAATTGAAGAAGAGCTTTGCAGGATGCTCCACACCCGTGCAAGATGGAAAAACGTATGAAGTGGTACAAAAAAAGAAAGAGTGTGAGGAAATGTTGCTGGGACTTGTGCGATTTCAATATTCCATAATCAACTCTGATTAAAGAAGATAGCAGCATTAAAACTTTCCACAATTATACGAACTTAATAATGGAACTGTTCACAACAACCTTTTCCTTTCTACGGTCCTCAGTAGCTGAAATCTCCGCTTAAGAAAAACCACGTGGAATTCTTTAATTCCTGGAGCTAGTTGTGATAGAAAGCATAAAAAAGGTACAGCTCCAGAACTCGTTAACATCACCGGCGGTTTCCTTAAAGCTGGAAGCCACAGTTTACACATCTTTCTCGCAAAAGGCATAACATTCTACTTTCAAAAGAAAAAATTTCACACCACTGAAGGACGTCGCGCGCGGTTGCCTTACCAAGAAAGGTGACCGAAAGGATCTTCATCACTATCGTTCGCAATGTTTGTCGAATTTACTGTACAGGATGTTTACGAAGGTTATTCTGTCGTGTATTTCAGCTATATTGGATGAGACACAATCAGCTGAACAAGCAGGATTCCGGCACAGATTCTGCCCACCTGGGCTATATCCAAACTGTATAACGGGTCGCAGGATAAAGTCACTCGATTTGGATGAAAAAGGCATTTGCATTGATGGAAAAACTTCACCTATGGTTACCAGTGAATCCCAGACGATGATAAATGAACTCAGAAAAGCGTTAAAATGATTGGACTATACACATATCGGAAGAAGATTCACTTTATGAAAAACCCAAGTTGCGATGCTAAATAGACTAAGCTCGATGGTTCTTTGATTACGGAGACGACGAAGTACGTGGACCTTGAGCGTTCGGGGAACATGGAAAGCAACAATAGCGAAGAAACAGGCGGAAGAAGAAGAGCAGCGTAGACCGCATTTGGGTCTCTCAGAGAAGCGACCGGCAAACTAAAGCTCCTGAAAATCTGAGCCTGCTTTTTTAATCCAAAGTGCTTCCTGTTCTCTGTTATGCAGCAATGACGTGGGGTGAGGGTGATGCTTGAACCAGGTCTAGAATGTTGCACACTATTCACAGAGCGCTTGTACAATGTGTTTCCGAATTATGATAACCACACACAATATCTATTTGGAATGCAAAGCTCTGATCTTCTACATTTACTTCGCGTTCGTGATCCAGGAAAAACACTTCGATATCAAAACATAAATGAGTCGCACATATGCTAAAAAACAGAAAACGGACGGAAATAACTGTAGACTCCATGACGATTCAGACATCTTCTAAGAACGTTGGGTAGACATGTTCATAACTAAAGTAAAACAACTGTGCCCGTCGATGCAGTCATTTTACAGACCACGATATGAAACTCGAACCTGCCAGCATACTCCAATCAAACCACCACCATGAACGACGATTGCAAGGCAAAGAGACGAATGGAAAATATGCTGGGGTCCACACAACTCGTTAATACTGGGTGTTCAAGTATCAAAACAGGTAGATATTTTATATATTTGGAGTTACCTCTTTGTACTCCCTCACGAATATATCGAAGTCCATCATCTACAATTATCCTTTGCGTCGATGTTGACTCGAATTCATACCATTTTCTGGCAATCGCCTTCATGACTGGATCGTTATCAACAACTGTGACGTTTAGCTTAAGTCGTTTATTGTTATCGAAATACTACAATTAAATAAAACTCGTTTAGTCGCACCTGAAGCTTGTCCATAGTGCTAAAATAGTTGTTGATAACACCACCACCTAAGCCGATGATGAGAATATTTTGTATCTCTGAAGAATCATATAGAAGGGCTCCACTGAAAAATGAACCGGCGATCATCAATCTAGCATAGGAGAGTCGCACTGTTGGCTTGTGTAGCCTCCATGTCTTACTGTTAAAAGTACTCCACGTGATCGCTGAAAATGATTTCTGCGCGCAACCATTTTTTGCTCATACAAAAGGTTTACTACTGACAAGAATCTTAATTACATCTTTTTGTTGAAAGGATAACAATGGTTTATTAACGCCCATTCTTATGAATATCCTTTCAGCGTTTTCAACCTCGAATTTGGAAAGAAGCTGCGTGCTACAGTGCTGAACCTTGATCGAGAGTAGGGGCTTCATGACGAAATACTAGTTATCTGAATTGGGCAGGTGTGCAAGCAGCAGTCTAGCAAAGCAACTAACAATGTCGGCCTCATCACCAACACGAGTTTGGCCCTAACATCGATTCATCAACGACTAACAACTTAAGAGAGACGTTTACCATTGAAGAAATGTGGATCAGTGGTGACTTTGGCAATCTTCGGCGTTTATTCACGCTCAGGTTACGATGAGGACGAGAGTGAAGAGTTCGACAAAGACTAGGAGAAGTTTTACGGAGACGATAAAACATTTTTTACTTTCATCATTGGGAAGCTTAACGCTTGGATTGGACCTAGAAGAACGATTGAAAATGTTGCATTACCACCCAAGAATTTGGTAGGAACGAAAAGGGAGGCCAATTCTTTGAACTTATCATGCGACTAGGACCATTTTTGGTTAATCACAATAGCAGAAGGTCTCCTCTCCACGTTGCATCGAGTCATCCAATAAGACGTACCATAACAGAGTTGACTACATTGTAGTAAATCGAAGGCTTTCTCCAGATGTCACAGTAGCCTTAGTGTTCTACACAGGATCGCCTCCTTCATGTAGCATTTTTGCGAAAAGAGAGAAAGCTGTGAAGTCTAGGAAGCGAAATCCAAAAATCACTGTAAACAGTGATTTCTTCACGTCACTAGTCTAATTTGGGAAAATGCCTACATTGACAACATTAAGAAATATACGACCAGCTTATTTACACTGCTCACATTAGCGTTGTAAAAGTTGAGAGTTCGATAGTCTCTCAAGAGACATCTGTGTGCGGAAGTACTAGACTTAATACTCCAAATGGAGTCGTGCGACAAGTAGACAATCGTTAGCTCACGTCTGATCTTGCAAAATACTGCAGACAGGCGATAAAAGAACATAATAAGATAAGAAGAAGAGTAGCAGTTATGGTCGAAGCGGCAGAGGCTGAGAAAAGCATTTACGATGTCAACCGAATCTTCGCCGATTATAAAACCAAGATGGTTTCAGTCCAGCACCAGTGCTGAACAGTTACAGCCACAAGAAAGGCGATGGAAAAAACAATTTGTAAATACTATTCGGATTTCTTCAATAGCTACGTCCTCTTGCACTCCAAAGAGATAACAGAGGATAAATATACGGTCCCACCGCTACTCTCTTCCCAAATACAACATACTACTTAGTCTGTGAAAATCAAACAACAGAAGGGATAAGATCCGGACACCTGGAGAACCATCAGACTTTCTACTGAGTCATCCTAAATAGGATAGACAAGACATGGACGATCCACGGCAATTTGAGCAATCGGGGTTCCAGAGAAGATTCAGTAAGATGGAAAACGACCACGCGATAACAATACTCAATAAAGGATGTCGAAAGGCCAGGGAACCGTTCCGAACCACTTCCATCAATTTGTGGACTTCCGACTCAGCTGACACAGAAGTCAAGGAAGTTCTGGGCAGCCGTGATATCCTTATTCAGCAAACAACAATTCTTAGTGAGCTACACAAAAATTACACTGTTAACATAACACCATCCCACAACGATATTAACACAGGCGTTAAAAGATGTTAGGAAAGGCTACACGATATAGTCAAAATTATTTGCTACCATCTTTTAGGACGTCATGGGAACCCTGCAATGAGACAACATGACAGTGAAAATCGATAGTCGGCAATTACACCATCTTCGCTTTGCTAATGACATCGTTCTTATAGCACCAAACAGTAAGGGTTGCGAAACCGTTGGTCTTTGACAAAATCCAAATAAGGCGATTTTCACGAAGAATAGATTGGTTACAAATGATCCTATTCACCCTCAACAAAATGAATATCTCCGAATGATCCAGGTAGGTCTTTCCAGGTTTGCAAATCAACATGATGAAAGGATTAACTTAATAGCAGAGCAGCAAGAAGCAAGCGTCTTGGGCATCTTTCAAAATCATTGAGGAATTGGTGAAAAAGACTAAGAACACGCGACTCGATGATTCCTTCTACAGTTCACATGATCAACTTTCTATTAACCTCGGCACTCGATTATAAATCTGCTGTTCTCCTTTTTACAGCAATCGTAAGATTGTTATTCAGCACGCGTTTATTTCCTCACAAATACAACACATACAACACAACGGTAGCTGACGTTTCGGAAGTGTCGTCTTCTTCAGAACCTGGAAGGGTATACTAACATGTAATTTAATAGGCCAAACGCTTCAATAACACAAACAGAAAGATTAAAATCTGAACAATAATTACACGATCACCGGGTTCTCGAAAACTCATCTTTTTTATCTGCTTTCCACCAAGGAAGAACAGCCACTTAGAGTCGCATATCGTTGATTACTGGGCCACCCCACATCAAAAATCAGTTCTGAGATAATCTAGGTGTGCTTTTATACGGATACACAAAAGTCTGCCCGTTTCGCCAATATATTCATTTCCGCAATTATTACAGGAGATCAGGTATATCGTACCTGAACTCGTGCAGTCACCGTCTCTGCCGTAAGGGCAAATTATGCAATTCGGTGTTTCACATAGATGGTCAAACAGGCGGTTACGAAATAACTGACGTCGTAAAGTATACGGTAGCATTTCAACTATCGCTACCGATTCCTCTCGGACTGCCCTTTTTAAGCGTCGTTTAATAGCTACGATTACTTCATCGCTAATAAAAGGCAACATAAGCGGAACTTTCTTTTGGCAAGCAGTCACTCTCCTTCTAAACTTATCTCGTGGGTTTACTATTTCGCAGCCATTGGAGATGGCTATTTGCCGAGCCAAGTCGTGCGACTCTTCCTTTAGCTCCCTGGTGGTCCACGCAGAGGTGGCTGTTCCAAACATGTTTCTCACAAGTGCCCTCTTTGTGTGTGAAGAGTAGGAAAAAAAAGAAATGAACGAAGATGTTTTTGTCACTTGGCTTTGGGTACCACTTTGTCATGTAAACGATACTTAATAGGTTTATTTGAACGCTAAAAAATGGAAGCCGGTTTTTCTCGGTTTCTCCCGGGTGAACTTTATGTACTCAGCCTACTCGTTCAATAATTCAAAGCATTTGTCCATCTCCTCCTGCGTAGAGAAGACGATAAAACAATCATCTACATATTTGCAGTAAAGTAGTGGCCGGAAAACGAGAACAGGGGCTTCTTTCTTAGACATAAACACAAGGGCAAGGCCTGGTGCCAGTCGCTGTCCCATTGCCAACCCCCTTATTTGCGCGAAATATTTTTCAGACCATCCGAAAATCGAGCAGTTTAGGCACTCCTTTAAGAGAGCCATAAGCTGCTGGATGGACAAGCCATGCATATTTATCCTTCCTTCATGTTCATCAAGAAGTTCGAAGACGGTTTGCATTGCGGAGTCATTCTATACTCTGGTGTACAACGCGGTAACGTCGAAAGACTCCATCACGTACGCGTTATTAGGAGACGTGTTACGTAGACGTTCTAGGAACACTTGGATGTTTGTGAGGTGAGCTGGCATGTGGTTAAGTAACTGGATAAGTATTAGGCTTAAAAACCAGATTATTCTATCTATTGGCTTGTCTACACAGCTGATGATGAGTCTAACCTTAAATGATGACGGATTGGTTGACGCAAGATCATTAGGCGATACCAACTTATATGTTTTAATAAGTAGGTATAGCACGGAACATGTTGGTTTATCGATTTTAAAGTGCGAAATAACCGATGATTTTACGCCTGCCACCTTTGCCACTTTGACCCACTAATTGTTTAGTTTCCGGTATTGAGTTTTGTATTCCCTTTCAGACGATGGGCGATAAAGGGTAACGTCACTAAGATGTTCCTCAGTTATCATAACATCTAGCTGGCGGGGAATAACTACGAACACTCTCCCCTTATCACTAACTGATAGCCTAATGGTCCTTGAATTTATTAAATCCCTAATTCCTTGCATGCCACACTTTTGTGCGACTGTAAGATTAGAGATAAATGTTCTATCGCAATAGTGATTAAGAGCGTTGAGAACACCATCCGAAAACAAGGGAAAGGAGATAGTGGTAGTGTCACCGCCTCTTTGCTTCCACCTCTATTTGATGTTTCTTGTTTGGCCTGATAGCGTAGTCGATCTTGAAGCTCATAAAGGTTGCATGCTATTCTACGCAGGATCGTTTTAGAAATGGGTTGTGATGGTGCAAAACTTGGGCCCAATTCTAATAGCAAGCACGCACTCTCAGGTATTGTTATGCCCCCAATCACGGTGACCCTAGATTTTCTTGGTGCATTATCAACCGTACTATGACTGCTAGCAAAATTCGTTTGTCTGTGATTTCATAAAGTCGAGACATGCGAATTAGTCAGTAGATTCTCAAACTTTCGCTGTTAGGTCAGTTTAGTATGAGGCCTAATAGAATTGCATAACACTGAAGAAGACAATACTGCCGAAACGCTAGCTACTATTGTATTGTATTGTGTTTTTCTATGGAAGTAAAGGTATGCTGAATAACAACCTAGCGATTGCTATAAAAAACAAAATAACGGATTCCTTCTACCTTCGAACACTCATGAGTAGCTTGGTCGTTATTTATCAAAATCAAAGGTCACTCGGCGTTGTAGAACACGCAGCCAAGAGAACGATGCTAGGAGTATTCCATACCACGCTTGTGAGAAAGGGAATACAACGTTATGACCAAGGTAAGCGACCAAAAATCGAAGAAATCATTCTTCACGTCAGATTATCGAAGATGAGATGGGCCGGAAACGTAATGCGTATGAAATACAACCAATCAATAGAGCCTTCACTACCTGGAGTGCGCAGACCTCAAATGCACAGCGGGAAAACCACAGCCGTGATAGTCACAGTTGTTAAGGAAATCATTAAAAAAGAGGTATGATGCTGAACGAGTTCCTAGAGCGAGTAGAACTTAAACGGATACTTTAGTACACTGCAGAGGGAAATGAAGGCTATTTGGTGCTCACTTGAGTTGCTCTACTATCAACAGGACGAGAGATGATAGAAAGCTCCATCCAATCTAGGTAAATTGGTGATTGTCTGTAGTGAAGGTCGACTAAAGCGTAGCAGACCTCTCTTAGGATCTCAGTGAAATCCCAATAGATGGGCATTCAGCGGAATTTACGAAGAAGATAGTATAATGAAATGATAAATCGACCCCATAAACGAATCTGAATATCTCCGTACATAACGGACGAATGCAATATGTGAAGTCGGATCATTTAAAAACAAGAAATAAGATTTATTTAAGGAAACAGGGTCCTATTACATTATAGCCTAATTGAAAGTGAGGCTTATCACCTTCTATGTAAAACTCATTTGCTCACGTTTAGGTGGAATTATACGGGCATCGGACAGTAAGAGTGGTTCTCCACTGCCTATACTGCGAAGACTCCGATATGCGAATAACCTATAAATAACCGTAAATAAAATCTCATCTAGTAATTGCAATGAAAAAACCTCTCGGTGTTGATCAATCCCTGAGGGATGCGCTATGCATTCTACTTAATTATGAATCGTTTGCGGCTGACTGAATGCACATCTGGCCTTTACAATGACTCGCGGTGGCCTACCGATGTATCGAGCCAGTGCTGCTATCCTCCCAGACAAGTTTGGTACCGATTTGCTCACCCCAAAGGGTTGGAGGACTTGGTGAGCCTGAGGCGCTGAGACCAGTTCCACTTGTTTGTTGCAGGGCGCCTCCGACCACTGCGGCACGCGCGCCTTTAGTATTTGTAGTAGCAAATGATTTGTACTTCACTCTTTGCAGATCTACTTCTATCGTTTAATAAGTTGCTCACATTGTCTTAATATACACAATTAGTGAAATAATTCACTTACCTCTCAGAAATCAGCTCATAGCGATCGATAATGTTGAAACACACACCAGTAACTCCACTACACATTGTGTCAATATGAAATAAAGAAATCTAAGCGTGGATAATATGAGAATGACTTATTAGGGTCATATTTTCTCTACGAAGTAGCAACGAAGGCTTACTGGAAGGAATTTAATTGCGCGAGTTTTTTAAAATAAAAGTATAAACCATAGTTGAAAAGAAGTTGAACCAAAAAAATGTAATAGAAATGTGGACTAACAATGCGACTTTGATATGAGAGAAGCTTCTCCAGGATAGCTTTCTCGGTTTTCGTTTCATTCATGAAAGGAGCGTAGGCGTACTGAACGTGGGAGTACGACGACGTAAAATGTACGTACCAAATCCACTAGAAGAAGTGTGCTTGCCAAAGTTAAACATGTTTGTTCAGAGAATTTCAGAAAATAATGCCCACCCCTAAGAGTGCACCAAACAATGCGAAAAATAGCAATAGTAGTCGATTGTACATTTTGTAATGAGCCGGAATTTCGTATTCGACGACCTACAGCGATGTCACAGCTGAACAAATTGACCAGTGGGAGTAATCCATATAACTATCGACCAACAAAAATGGATAATTTTTATCCTTAGAATGTTTATACAGCCTTTGAATTGTGCAGTTCACTTGTTATAAAGTTTCAAATATGAAAAATGGAATAGATTTATAGTGGTAAAAAAAGGATAAAGCTATCGGCGTTGATCAATCCCTGAGGGATATGCCATGTACTGGACTTCATTAAGAATCGCTTGAATGTAACTGAATGCATATCTGACCTTTACAACGTATCGCGGTATCCTACCGTTGCATCGAGCCAGAGCTGCTGTCTTCCCAGATATGTCTAGCACCAATTTGCCGACCTTAGATAGATGGAAGGCTTGGTGGGTGATGGGCCCGGCGATCGACTCCACGTGTGTGTTGCACGGAGCCTCCAACCACTTCACCATACTTAGAATGGTATTAATGATAATAATAGTTATCTATGATAGTGACATTATTAATATTAACGGAGACTACTGAAAAAAACGATTCAAACAACCTATTTGGTCCCATCATTAAAAAGTCTTCTATCAGCAGCTATTCAATTGAAATTAGCGACCTTGAATAAAGTCAATTCAACAATCCAGCGCAACCTCATGGAATTTACTGAAATTATAAGCTCTGCAATCTTCTTTTAGCGTTATCATCAAAAGATATTTATTTTACAGTTTAATGTACTGAGATATAGAAAGGCAACGGTGGGCATTTTAGATCGATTGGATACGGTTTTGTCTATACACTAGTCAACGAACAAGTTTATGCCTTCGGATACCGGACTACACGATTTAACTACACATTTTGTTGTCAACATAGGCTATCTCATAGTCTTAACTTTATCAAATCTTAAAAAATATTATAACCATCGAAGTGTGCAGATGTATGTAATTTCCTCTAAATACATTTGAAGATTGCTGGAAGACGATTCTAAGCAGCACTTATTATTTTAGGCGCGGAGTTTTTTTACAAACACGAAAAGAGTCCATAAAGAAGTTCACGCATAAATCTCATAAATATCATAAATCATAACAACAATGTAATAAATAAAAAGCAATAAATATCGTGTATAAATAAACCATTAATATCGGAACTCAATTTTGGACTATCGTTAACGCACCGTGTGCTTTTCATAAAGATGTGATTTATGTGACCGTTTGAAGATTAATTTGCTCCTGGATTTTCATTTCTTCCAGCATTTTATAAAACTAGGTGTTAGCGTTGTCTGCTCCTTTTAGAGCAATTCTAGTGACTCAGCATGAGCAAAGCCACGGTTTGACTCCGTCACCAATCAAACAAGTCAGCCTTCCATCTCTGTTTGGGAGATTCGTACCAGACTCATCTGCAATAGGCTATCTCTACACTTAAAAGGAAGTGATGATAACTGGTAATGAGGATCTGGAAATGCACTAATATAACCATCCAAAAATTCAGAAGGAATAGACTCGATCAGCATTTAGTGGGATTCAAAGTATCAAGAATCCTGAAGCAGCTGATGAATCGACCCAGCGGTAAACCTTCGTGGACGATAGGACAAGGAAATTAGTCGAACGTGAGATGTGTTGGAGTCTGCGAAATAAGTGTGGTGTCGGGTTCTGTAAAATACATTTGAAGGATCCTTAACATTGGCTTATGAATAACCCACAGAGCAATCTATAGCGAAGGTAAGTGAAAGTTAATACTGAAAACGATGTAGCGAAATTTATCGTATATGTGAAACTCCACACTTTTCCTCCATGTTCAATAACTAACTATCGACTTTTCGGTTTATTAAGAGTTTGCATTTGTCATATTCGAAGCTTCCAGGCGCAATATCATTTTTTATCGGCCATCATTATCATTTATCAATATCGGCCAGAAAATCTATTAGTTGAGAAACTGGTGGGATTTTGCTGGAATCCCTCTAAATCGATTTTGAAACATTACCGCCGCTTGAATTCGCATATTTAAGGGCTTCTTCCAGAACTTCAGTGAAGAATTTTCGGATTAAGACGGACGAAGTCTTATCCACAGAGGTGGAATTTTTCGGGAAATCTGAAAAATATGGAACTCGAAATCGAGCGTGAAAACACCTTAAAGCGCACAGCCGTAGTGCTACTATTTCATTAATGTATTCATTTAAAAAAGAGAATGGCGAAGAATGCGCCGAAGCCGTCCAGTGCTTAACGCAATTGGCTTCCATTGTTTTCAACATTCTCACGACTAGTAGCATTCATATGTGTCATAATGGTTTTGCGGAAGTGACGAGCGCGACATCCATAGGCTCCACTTACTTTCCGGTATTATCCCATACTTTTCGCTGTCAATTAAGAGCTTGTAGGACACAGATGTAGTGTAAAGGATTGTTTAGGAAAAGCCATATTCCGCGCTTAGAAATATGCAAAAACCAGTTTTCCAAACGAGTTCACTAACCAGAAATTTTTTTGCAAATGGACTGCTATAATCCTGATAGTTGTGTGTTTGTAAGATGACGTATACAGTAACGTGCAGTAAATAGTATCATGACTATCACGCATATCCACAGCACAATAGAACAAAGTCTTTTTTGCAGTTCACCTATGCTCACAATCCACGATCTTGCCTAGTTATAGTAAAATTTTTGTTTATCTTCAAAAACACGCTGCTCCACAAAGGCTTGAAATTAAGTATCGTCAACCCCGACCTTGGCGCCGTCGCGAGAAGGTTAAATAGCGTAAAATCTATTTGAAGAGGTTAAAATTTGCATATACTTCAAAGATCCCATATTAATATCATGCACAAATAGTCATATTCTGCGCATCAAGCTCTTTAGGGCATACATCATCAAACTTTATCCTCAACATAGACGACGAGTATCAGATGTAAATGATTAATGGTGACCATAAGTGAAACTACGAATATTCGAATCATAGCTGAGAAAAACACTGCAGTAAAACCATATCAATGTGCGTAGAATCGCCTTGTGACTTAAAAAGCACGTCTGCGTTTCCTGAAACGAATATAAGAAAGTGATATAGTAAGAGAAAGAACGAATAGAACAATTGGGCAAGACAAAAGAAAACTGAAAGCACATCGTAATCATTGAGATTTTTAGTAGAACATTTTTTCGAACAGTGACTAGAATTCCTTAATGTCGTCGCACGGATCCACTCCATCTGAATATTTCACACGTGCTTCTGCAGTTCTAATCGCAGCATCACGTGAACACATCGTTTCGATTTTTTTCTTCAGAGCTTTCTCTTCCTCTTTCATTTTTTCCTTCCACTGTCGTCGTTCTTCTTCAAATTTGGTCACTTCCAAACGCCTCTGCTCTTCCAAACGTCTAAATTCCTCTATCCGGCGCATGTGTTCTTCACGTCTTGCCTCCATCTCTTTTCTACGTTCATCGTCACGTCGTCTTTCTTCTTGTCTTCGCTGCTCTTCTTCTTTTCTTCTTTCTTCTTCTCTCAACTTAGCTTCTTCTCGTCTCCGTTCTTCCTCTTTTCTGCGTTCTTCTTCGTATCGACTCTCTTTTTCTTTCCGGATTTCTTCTTCTTCTTTCAAGCGTTGCTTTTCAATTTCCATTCGCTCCTCCTGTATTCGTCTTCGCTCCTCTTCTAACTTCCTCATTTCCTCCTCTTCCTTCAATTGCTGCTCTCTAAAACGAGCTTCCTCATTCCGCCGTTTTTCCTCCTCTTTCCTCAGTTGTTCTTCTCTAATACGGGCTTCTACTATTCTTTTTTCTTCATCTAGTCTTTTCCGCTTTTCCGCTTCTCTTAAACCTTCCTCCTCTACTCTTCTTCCCATGTCTAACCTTGTATATTTTTCTCTTTCTTGCTCTTCCAACTCTTGCTGTTTTGCCTCAGCGCTCTTTAGTGGTGCTTGAGGTCCTCTAGTTTCATGTTCTCGGGTTTCCGTATCTGTCATGTGAATCTCGCTGCGACTTTCTAAATGTGCCTCTGATTTAAAACTGCGAGTTTCGTTTTGTTCAAGAACATGTGAAGGTCTGGTAACTTCACCCATCTCCTTCCAAGCTTGCTCTTCGACCTTAGTCTTGTTGTAGGCAGTAGCTCCATTGACAACCACCTAAAATGCAGAAAACCATGTGAAATCAAGAAGATCAATAATGTGATAGTTCCGCCTAATTCTGAATAAAGAAGGCGATGTACTGGTTAGGTTTTGGAGATTTAAATTTAAGCAGAAATAGCATCCAATTTTCTTGTTTCCAACTTCACAATTTTAAAAGTTTTCCTTTGGCTAATCATGTAGAACTCTCCTATGATAACGCTCAGTTTAGAACACTTTTATGCTGCTTCGAATGGAACTCAATCCGAAAAAATCGTTTGGTTTCCTTTATGAGCTCAAATGATGGCAGTATGAAATTTCATAGTACAAGCAGCCAGGAAACCATTCTCAAATAGGCAGTGCAAAAAGGATTCAAAATCCTTCGTATCGGAAATCATGGTATTGCTAATAAAGGACGTTGATACCCATCGGCAGTTAACGTCGATCATTTAATTGTGTTATTCAGAGCTAAGCTTCTATGAACTACCTGGAAAACCGCTGAAAAACTCGATATCGAGAAAATAATAATGCTTCTCTTTTTCAAAAAAAAAACATCGTAAGGGTGAAAAAATGGAAAAAGAGCTCGAGATTGCCATCATGAATTCTGTATTCTCTTAACGCAACAAAAATGACCTTTTCTCAATCACATAATGATGTGCAATTATAGATGGATTCTGTACAAAAGTGAGCGATGTATATGAACGGAGATGAAGCTCACCAGCGCTTCGCAATCCTGAATCCACGCCAAAAGAAAGGATGAGTAGTGTTCAGTTTAATAGCCTGACTAATTTATCAAAACATTCTGAATTTTAAGATGCCTGGATTGTGCTAATGTATGTTCCTGATTATGATTGCTCGGCGGAAAGCATTTGGTCTTCTTGAGTGACTGCGATCGAATATATACGTACTCTAAACACACACTACGAGAATAGGGAATAGAACTCAGAGACTCAGCCTCGCCCATTATACGCATTAGACCTCTCACGAATCGTCTGCGACATATCCAAACACTTCGAAATTTACTTCCAAGAATAAATGCTCAACAACCATTGTTGCAAGTGATTTTGACTAAATCGTCGCTCCTATTGCTTTAGAAATCTGTACAACCGAAACACTCTAACTTATCCCTTATGGACGTGTATGGCGCAGTGGTCGGAGGAGCCATGCAACATACATGTGCCCATGGCCCACCAAGACTTCCATCCCTCCAGAGTCGGCACAGCGAATTGTTATCGAGTCATTGTAAAGGCCAGATATGCATTCAATCACCTCCACACAATGCTTAATGAAGTCGAATACATGGTGCATCCCTCAGGGATTGATCAACGTCGAAAGTTTTATCTTTTACCCTTTTATACCTCATTGACATAACAAGTTTGCAGATACTAATGATTCATAGTTCGCCGTCTATAGCCTGTTGTGGTTTTTGCACTAATCAAACATTGCTATTTATGAACGCTGGTCTTTCCTTTCACTGTTCTCAATTTAAAAAAAAAAACTAATCACATCTAAAGAAAAACTGAGCTTTTACTAATGCTCAGTTCGATTACCACTAAATCCGTAATATTCCCACTGATGAAAAAACTCAGAAGAATAATGGAAAGCCGTGAGTCGAGCTGTAAATTCAAAAACACTCTTCTTTGAAAGTTCTCTAACTCGAAAGGGCTCCTATATACTATAAGGCTCACTAGAGAAAAAAATTATTACGTAATGCTTCTAGTTTGTTTGTACTTTTCAACATGCTTTTATAGTTCCACAGTTAAAAGAAAAAATGCGAATAATAGTAACGAATTTGAGACAAAAAAAATTGAAAAAAGATATCTGCTATAAAAAGGGGCAAAAATGGTCGTATTCATGAGGCTTCGAATATTTCGAGTTGCTTTAATCAATTTCGTTGAGACGGATTAAGGTATAGATTTTGAGGGAAATATTTTCGTGACCTTCTCAACGGTTTACCGCCTCATCGTGGCTGGGAAGTGTTCCTGGGTATCGGGCTACGATTTAGAATGTGGGGATTCATCCTGCCAGCAGAGTCTCTCAGGTTGGGAACAAGTCCGGCATTTCCAACAGGAAGCCAGCTAAGAGTAAACCAGTACAAGGATCCACTACCGTCTTGTTATCAAAGTCGCATGGTGGCAAATCTCCCTCTGATCCACGTGGGCTGGCACTACCCATCGTGGTGACGACCTTGAGCAGACTTTGGCCAGGCTGTCCTCGGGATTCCTGGGAACCACAATGGTTTAACCAACAAATCTCCATAAAATGGTGTTTATGCTGGCGCCTGCACAACCAGTGATGACGGGCTGTTCAAGTATCATGTAACAAGTATTTTTCGTGATGCTATTCTGTTCTTCTCAAGCTTCTATATAACATCACTACTATTTGCAAAAGTCCGGACGCAGGTGAGTGTAATGGGGAGCGACCACACCATGTCGGCCATTGGTTTTGCTTGCCTCTCAGCTAGTTCTATCGATCAGTGCCATCAACAATCACCCGTCAGCGGGATTGATCTAGGGAGCTCAAATGGGCAACGAAACCAATTAACCTAAGGCTGTAGTCGAAATCGCAATGTGACGGGTGACTGTTGATGGTACTGTTAGATAGAAAACTAGCTGAGAAACAGGCGAAAGGGATGACCCATACGGTGTGATGGTGAACGCTTTAGTCCCCCGAAAGGACAATAGCGCGTTCGTTCTCCAACACATACACCTGCGGTCCGGAGTTTTGCAAATATCTCACCATCTCTTAATAACTCGAAAGACCGACTTTCTATAAACCTCGGCATAGATAGTTGATATATTTATTTATGTGATCTTATAAACTGATCTTCTTAAGCTGACGCGAGGTTGGTACAGATCTTCGTTGTCGTCGTCGTTGTTTTTGATGTTATTGATCGATGGCTGACATTTCGGCGACTTCGCCTACCTCAGAGCCTGGACCTACTTTATGTTAGAATACTTTTTATTATTCGGTGGAAAAGAATGTTAAAGTATTAATGAAGATCAAACTTTCAAATAGACGCCATATTGAACAGAAAGGCCACTCACCGTGATGTTCCGTGCGGGACTGGCCCACACGTAGTTCACGTGGAGTCGTGAGCAAGACACGCCCCCGGGTCAAAATATAATTTTGAAATAGGGCGCCAGGTCATGCGTGATAGTGAGGCATTCATCCTTCCGGTTCATCTTTGGATTTTTGAAATTTATCCATCAAAAACATCAACGCGCAAAACTCTTCTGAGGCGTCTTGAACCGGAAGGACGAATGCCTCACTATCACGCGTGACCTGGCGCCCTATTTCAAAATGATATTTTTACCTTGGGGCGTGTCTTGCTCGCGACTCCTCCACGTGAACTACGTGTGGGCCAGTCCCGCACGGAACATCACTGTGAGTGGCCTCTCTGTTCAATATGGCGTCTATTTGAAAGTGTGATTTTCATTAATACTTTAACATTCTTTTCCACCGAATAATAAAAAGTATTCTAACATAAAGTACGTCCAGGCTCTGAGGAAGGCGAAGTCGCCGAAACGTCAGCCATCGATCAATAACATCAAAAACAGCGACAACGACAACGAAGATCTGTACCAACCTCGCGTCAGCTTAAGAAGATCAGTTTATAAGATCACATAAATAAATATATCTCACCATCGTTGTGATTGTATCACACGTAACACCCTGCAGTGAAAAATCCTATTAGGCGATAAATAAAAAGTAAACATCAGCACTATTCTTTTTATCGAAACTGTTAAGTCTCCATCTTTCCATTGATTTCTATTGAATTTAATAGAAATTGCTTGTGGACTTACTCGCTCGTAGTAGTCACGATATGCCACGTAGTGAGGAATGCATTGAATGATTTGCTCCTGTAATGTGGTTTTACCATAGTAGTAAGGATGCTGATGTTGGTGATGATGACGAAGATGATGATAGTGGTGATGACGGTGAGGATGATGAATTAATACACGTCTTTCAAACTGTTGAACTGGGGCGTCTAGAACAATTGCTCGTTAAGAATTTTCTGTTCCTTTTTGTAATAGAAGAGGAATAAGAAAATAAAGAAAGCATGTCTAGTGGGAAAACTTAGGAGGCATAACCTACTCCTAAAGCTTTTATATTTTTTTAAGCATATGAGGCATATGAAAAAAGAAAAAGAAAAAAATAGGAAGCAAATGGAGGGTATTCTATGCGGAATGTCTATCCATGCAGTCGTGCAACTCCTGTATTCATTTTATACTGCCCTATTTTTATTTAATTTACTATGAATCGTTATTTGATAGTTTACAGGACGACTTTCTATTAATCTTCGCATTGGTCAATAATTTAGTACTTTCTCGATGGGTATTCACGAGGTTTTTAACGCCATATTTATTTCACGATGACTAACGTTTCTACGGATCTGGTCTTCCTTCGACCCTTTAGAAAGGTCAAGTTGACGTGCAGTTTACTCAACCGAATTTTTCTACAGCTCCTATAGAGAAGGCTGAAACTTAGATTTTATTCGAATTGGAAACGGTTTCATCATACACTCACCGCCTGGCATGAAGAGGAAACGCGAGAGAGCTACATTGTTAACTCACGTAAACTCCAAGCGACTGGTCTCTAATGATAAATTTAAATCTACGAATCTATGAGTTTTTGAAGTGTTTGCCTTCAGTGCGGTTGGAATTTAGGTTTTGGGCTTCTCAGTTGTGGTTATGGAGATATTTAGCTGACTGGATCGCGCATCGACTTGACCTTTCCATGCGCTGAAGAACGAAAAATTCGCCGAAACGTGAACCATTGTGAATAATTACGTTAGTGACAAACTCGTGTGTGTTTAGCAACAAAACAGTAGATTATCACAAAGCCGTTCTAGCAGTTTCATTTCGACTGTACCAGCCATGAATGACGCAGACTTCTTGAAAGGTGCTTCTGGTATCTGTCTTTCACTATTGGTTTCCTCGCCGCCACTTCGATAGATCGATATGTAGTAGTTTCCAGTATAACGGACTAGTTACGAAAATGTAGTAAAACCCATTTAATCGAAATGATTATATATAAAGAACGCTATTTATCGGCCTTTTGTGACTGTATGTCCTGGCACATCCCACTTGGTAATGCTTCGTTTTGATGAGAGTTGTTTGCATATGCTATGTATTCCATTCCTAGTTAGTCAGTCCATTAGAACAGTACACTTCCACTTATTTCTAACGTTAGTCTTTGTTCTTAAGTGGCAGTTTCGTACGTGGATAATTCAGGTTACTCATTGGTTTATTTATTATATATGTCTGTATAAAGGTTTAATAACTAAATCTTGAGATACAGCCACGACGATGCAGAGATATTCGCAAAACTTAGCCCGCGGGCCAGATCGAACCACGATTTCCCATTTCCCTTGCCGGCGGCTCGCACTATGACACACTACACCACGGAAACCCTTGCTCGGCGTTTCTCTCAGCTTAAACCTTAAGGTTTGGTGCTGTCGCAACACTTTCCAACACAGTCATTCTTACGACTACGCGTACTTTGCGAAATGTTGTCCTGGTGAGTAACGGTAGTATTAGCGACATTTTTATATTAGTATTAGCGGCATTCACATTTTTGCGTTGAGTTAGAATTCGTTTTCTAGATATCTCAGCAAATTATCTTTTTCCAGTGTGCTGCATCGACTAGGATGATGAATAATGGTTCAAACTAAAATGAGAGACACTTCGAAACATTTTATGCCATCACAAGAAATAAGTAGTGAAATTTCTGTGACGCATTTTAGTTAGAAGATGAACGCTGACCTTTTGTAAGCAGCTCAATATCACCCATGTGAAACGTTTTCTTCGAAAAATTTCCCTCCATGATGAATTCAGGTGGGATCGTACGGATGAAGAAGTGCTTAAATAGAAAGGGGCTTAGAAAAAATAAGCAACGTAACTTGAAACTTTTTTTAGGATTTACCTTCTTATTCAGTCCTTCATAGCCGCAGTTATGTTCAATATAAATGTACGGTTCAATAGCACTGATCTGAAAGCTGGTGAAAGAACAAAATTTAGGAGCTGTGCTTATTTTACAGGCCAATTTAGTAGTGCATAGATGTGTCGGTTCAAAAACCATTAATGCTGCAACATTGCTATGCATTTAAAATGTCATAGTCACATGTATTATCTAAAATCTCATACAATCACCAAGGGTTCAACAAGGTGGCTCGTCAAGATCTAGCGAAGGCACATGGATTTTCATTCGAGTACTTATCGTACTTTTTCAAATTTGATCGAAAGCTATTTTTTTGCGAAGAAGAGCGAAAATCTGCTCATCACTAGGTGAGAATCTTTTGATTAAATTGACGTGATTTCTACAGTCTGCACACATGAAGACACACCAATGCTGCATGCATGCATACCTACGCACAAACAGTATTTATCATTTCTGCTCCGCATCGAAAGAAGAGCCAGTCTGTGTACCCACCTGCGCTTTAGGTTAAGTCCTCTCATACTTACTTCAGTTCTGTCTTTATAGAACATTCCGTGAAAGAGAGGATAAATAAAGCGCACTGTGCCAATCTACTTCCTAATTTCCCAGTAATGAATCACGCATTCAACTCCACTGAGAATCGCAGAGGTGAGTCAGTGAATATTTCGCCTGTATAGTGTCTTAGGGAAGGCTACTAATAAATGAAGTCAGTGTCCTTATCATGCCTGACAAGTTTTCTACCAAATTGCTGATCTCGGCTAATGACGGGTTTGATTAAACCGAGACGCGGAAACTAACGAGCCACGATCACGAATCGAAGAATACCGTAGTCGAATGGACTCGAATCGAGTAGAGTACAGCTATTTGATTAAAATGATTTCACCGCGCAGTGTCCGTTTATACAGAATTGTATTTTAAATTGATATTAATAAGCACGTGTGATATGCTGGTTTTTGATCATCGAGGCCAAATTTGAGCAAAAACAGATGCTGAGAGTAGGGCAAATTTAAAGGCAAAAGGTTAATTTTTCAAGAGATGAACGTGACTGACTCCCCGTCTCAACCACTTCACTGCTACTTAATGGAGGTCTCGCAACGTGGTTGGTTCCCCTACGCTTTTGCTTCATACAAATGGTGGAAACAATTTTCGAAGAAAGTGGTTGTAAAATTGAGCTTCTATAGAGGCTTATCATTAATGCCAATACTATTGTTGTTTGTCTGGCAAAACGCCGAAATTTTTAGCCGAATGAAAATTTATCTAGCAACCTCGTGTATACTGAGCAATCCAGAGAGATATTGCTATTTGTATTCACTACATTCTCATTATCATTAACACTTTTTACACGACCCCTCTTCATATCTGTTTCGCGAATACCAACGGTTCTTGCAATTGATTTGTTTCCCCGCATCCATCGCCCACGAAGCTCTTCAAACTTTTGCGTGCGGTCTCGGCTACTTGTTAAGTGTTTTCATCTACTACAAATATTGTTGGATGCTGGTCGAATCGATTCATGCTAGAAACATTGGGAATATGTGCTGAAGATAGTGAAAAACAAGTCTGGTATCAATTTCTACACGCCGGACTAATAAGAGGTTTGGCGGGTTCACGGCTGGTCGAACAAGTGCCTGGGCAGCTTGGGCGGCCCGCGCTAGGAACGGGGTCACTAACACTGCGCTGCTTGCGTCCTTATTATCATTATTTTTTTATCAATTCTTCTGTAACGTTATGGGAAGATGGTTATCACCTAACCAAAGTATAACTCAAAAAACCGACTTTCTATGAACATAGGCATAGATAATTGATATATTAATTTATATGATCGTATAAACTGATCTTCTTTAGCTGATGCGAGGCTGGTATATGTCTTCGTTGTCGTTGTCGTTGTTGTTGGTAACTGCCACGACCGAGGAAAAAGGAAAGTGTGAAGGAAAAAAAGTGGAGTGGGAAAAAAAGTGGAGTACCACTCGTAACACCACGGCTCTGAGGAAGGCGAAATCGCCGAAACGTCAGCCATCGACAAACAACACCAACAACAACGACAACGATAACGAAGACCTATACCAACCTCGCATCAGCTAAAGAAGATCAGTTTAAACGATCATATAAATAAATAACCAAAGTATGCCTTCAAAATGAGTGTCCCGAAACCATCGAAATACTCCGAGAACACGTACCGTACCAGTAACGAGTGATCGAACGATTGGATTGCTTTGAAAAAGCATGCCTAGTGCTGGAAGTTCCTGTCAAAACACTGCTCTGCCGACGAAATTGTTGTCTTTCTCAGAACAGCTAATGAAGCAGAGGTGATAGCTGGCGCAATTTGCACGTAACAAGTTTTCTCGACAAGAACGGAGGCCATGAAAAAATACGAACATGAGTGGGAATGGCACCCGATGGAGGAACGACAAAGCACGAGTTCATTAGGGTCAATTGAAAAAGCCATTGATTAATTAACAGAGTTAAAAATGTGTTCCAATTTTTTTATTAGAAGCTCTCCTTGTGCACTGCATTTCGGGAGGACCATGATTATCTCTTCAACGAAATCGGCAGTTTTGCCTTACACTTAACGAACGCTTTAATAAGTTTCTCCTATGGTGGCGATGTGAACCTTCGGGCGCTTAATTTTATAGAACACTTTGCTTAACGAACGTGGCGGAGCGAAACAAAATAGACGGAACTATGGACACTTTCGAAAAGATAGCTTATGCAGGTATCCAGTTTAGTACTTCCACAATAGAGCACTTTTAATATTTTAATTTTAGGGCTTTCATGCATACCTCAGTTGTGTATCCTCGAACACAAAACACTCCTAACTCATCGGCCGTTGTTGAACCCAGTAAATCGTCACTGTCCATGACTGGAACTGAAATGGAAATTCTCATAAAACTCAGAATAACAAGTTTTGTGAACTCTTCACTATTGCGTGATTACAGAAATGCGGTGTGTTCTTGTCCACCACACAATCTTGTAAAGTTCTGAGCAACTCGGTTTTCGCCATTGCTATAGCGTACTAACACTGACCTATTCGTTGCCTCTACGGGTTTACAGGCTTACTGTATATTAATCATCTGTGGAAAGAAAATTCAAATTGAACTTACTGATGTCTTCATCGTAAAGCTGTACAAAAGCCCCGGGTTGACGTATACCTCGGCAATTCACGATCCCTTTCACAGCTACACTTTGTTCTCGAAATGTTCCGAACACTAATAGAGGTAATGAAAGCAAACAACTAACACTAATCTGACATATCGCCATACCTGCAAGTTGTTCTGTAGGCTTTGAAATCGTTTTCGACGAAGCTTCTAGTAAATATTTATAATTGAAAATCTTTACTATTGATCTAAATGTGACACTACGGAGTTTAGTTCAATACTACGATTCAGGCTTTTCACAAACTCAGTCCCTACTAATAAGTCATTAAGGGCTTTCCTTTTAATATAGATAAGAAACGAAACTGAAATAAATGGAATGGAAGACATTGTAGACATGAGCAGTGTCAAGACATGGAATACGAATAAGACGATTGCCAATAGGCGACGAGTCATCAGTTTCTATACACGACAGTGCCGACGGAACATCCAGGAATTCGACATTTTAGTGTCTACAAAAGAGTACAGAGCAGTAAAAATCCACATAACGACGACTAATTTCAATATTAGTAAAACTGTAGAAATAGTTTACTAAAAATTAAAGAACTATTCACAAGCTTATCTCTTATAAACGACACCTAATAAGTGACAAAGTAGTGACTGCAAACACTGAATCGTAGATGAAAAGCACTATACGGAAATATAGACGATTAAAAATTCACCTAGAAAAATGTCATCAGACATGAGCAAAATGTTTGGACTGGATTTCATCGAGATATCATTGCTTAAAGACCAATTTACCGACAAACTTTTCACATTCTCCTCTCAACATATCGATATGTGAAGTGGTAAAAAGGATAAAGCTCTCGGCGGTGATCAATCCGTGAGGAATACGCCATGTATTCGACTTCATTAAGCATCGTTTGGAGGCGGCTGAGTGCATAACTAACCTTTAAAATAACTCGCGGTGGCCTACCGTTGTATCGACCCAGCGCCGCTATCCTCCCAGACAAGTTTGGTCTCAATTTGCCGACCCCGGAGGAATGGAAGGCTTGGTGGACCATAGCCGGAGAGATCGATTCCGCGTGTGTGTTGCAGGGCGTTTCCGATCACTGTGCCATGCGCAACTTTAGTACTGACAAGTAGTGAAAAAGTTAATCTGATAAGATTACATGATTGTTCCTTTTTGCTACTCAGAAATTCCATTTTACGGGCGCTCAGAAACACAGGGTTATAAAACTGAAAAAGACAATAATTCTTCCAGTTTTTTGTTTTCAGGTGATTTCTTCGTCTCATTTCTTTCTTCGTTCGAATAAATTCTGAGAAGACGCTGGCTCTTTCTAGATATACGCTGTCTAACGTTGGAAAAAGCTGTTCGCCAGCAACGAATCATGCAGTCCTCTAGAAATGGCGGGATACTGCAAGGAATACGTTATTATAGGCTGAATAGAAGTCACTTTCACATTTGTCTAGTATTGCCTAGTTTTTATCATCAGCAGTATTTCATGTGCAAGAGTTCAGAAAAGAAACTTAGTACATTAGAAATTTTTCTTTCAAATTTTTGTGCATTCTGTTGTTTCATCCATTTTTGAATACTCTTAAAGTTCATTGTTTTAAAGAATCGCCGATGCGGTAAGATGCGACCACTGGTTACTGCTGACTTACTCTCCAAACTCTAAACTACTCCTACTAAACTCTAAACTATTCTAAACTCTACTCTCTAAACTGGTCATAGATTATCAGATTTTCTTTTTAATTCTAGCAGAACGTTCATAGGCGTCAAAAATAATTTCATTTTCCTCCTTACAAAAAAAGCATCATTCGCAGTTTCGTTAAGTATTGCAAGCAATCTCCTTTGTGAACTCAGCATTGATTCACCAATATCCTCTCAACTAATCATTTCTATTTATGGACACAAAAATGAAATTAACAGTTTTTTATCGAAAATAAACTTTTCAGTGTAGAAGAGTTGTCTCAAAGTTCCTTCTTTTCAAGAGATAACCATCGTTGTTTTTGAGAAAATGGAAAATTAGTTTGGGCTGCTGCAGACTGTCGCATTCAATTTTGTGCGTACTGACTTACCACGTCTTGCGTCTCAGGTCCTCTTTCTAAATCCAGAGACAATTTCCTTACAGATTGAGGATAATAAGCTGCAATAAACTAGACAATAAAATTCTGCAGTTATTAGTTTTCAGTTTTCTTTCCTTTGTAATTTTTTTCCACTTGATGCACATAGTTACACTTTAAAAGCGATAAGTGTTTTCTGAGGTTACCTGAATACATTGTGGCAGTGGATAATTCAATCGATATTGGACTTTCTACTATTGAAATTACAATTCTTTAACATACTTTCGTATATTACATATAAATAGAATTTCCTAGACAAGTCAATCATTGTTTCATTCCGTGCAAGATGAAATAAGATGGAACATGCTGAGTTTAACGGATATCACATTGTGGGTGAAAAAGGCTTATTGACAATAATCAGCAAGTGGTTTATACATCTAGTAGAATCAACTAAGCGAAGGTGTTGGATAATCCCTTCAGAAAGCCTGGCGAAAGATAAGCTTAGGCCATGGATGAGCTCAGCTCGCATGACGATGTGCTTAGAAAGTTTCTAACTCAGTGACGAGGTTTGTTTCATTCTCACATCTTCCCATAGGTAAGCCTGAAGATGATTTTACATGCTTCAAATGTCGCGTGCTCTCAATTTATCACCTTACCACTTTCAACCACTTTCAGTTCTTCAAATTTCCTTTCTTTAAGCTGAATGTTGCTCGAAATGGCCGTTGACTCAGTCTTTTCCTGCATTGTTACGAAACGCAATGTATCGAACGAAGACAAGACTAAATTTCTGTCACAGTAAAAGTAGAAGAGTTTACGAAAACTAGTAGACAAAGTCGTAAAATTCTAAACAGACTTGTTTACAAGAGAAAAAGAAAACAAAAAAGTAACTACGAACTATGAAGCGATTATTAGTCAACCACCTGCTTAATTAAAACGTCCGTGATAGATAGAAATACTTTTTTAAGTCGCACGAAGAAATGTCTGCTAAATTTAGGCCAAAACGAAGCCGAACCTAAAAGTTTGCTTAGCATTGTTCAAGAGCTTTTTGTCTACTGGAAGTATTACATGAGGAAATTGTCCAGAAAAACGACAATCATGAGGAGAAAAAGAAGGACAAGTTTTAAAAGGGAACGAAGTTCTAGGAGAAAGACCATAGCATTAAGTTACTTATGAATATGCTAAGCCTCTGCTACTAAAGAGTGTTCTATGTTGTAGTTATCCCAAGTATTTTGTCTTTAAATTATTTTGCTCTTACGAGTTATCGTTGGTGAGCTGATTAGACGCGTGGTTCACTCGGCTTTTGACCACTGATGGCTGCCACTTTTGAGTACTACGTCTTCTTCATAGCCTACACTTATCCAGCTTAATTACTGTTACCGATATGTCAGCAGTGGCGCTTTCTACGCATCTCTTAAGAGTGGAAGAAGGTAAAGTTGCCGCAACACCAGCCATCAAAAAACAAAAATCTTAAGAAACTCGTATAAAAAAGTCAAAGACATTTCTTAGGGGCGAGTTAAGTTGACAATTAATGTCAAAGTTGACTGGATATTGGTCTTCAAAATTTTTTCTATACTTTTTTACTCGTCTATTACTTTGAGCATCATTTTCTTTTCCAATTCGAAGCGCTTTATGGCAACACAGCAAACATCCCTCTGTTCTGTACAACTTGTTTTACTGCTATGTGGCGAAGATCTCTGAGCATTCTAGTAAGGCTCTTAAGAAATTTCATGTCACGCAAAGCACTACTGAAAATCCTGCTAGACGAGAAAAAGGCTATTGCTTAAGTCGCAGTTGAATCGGCACTCGAACCCCACTTTATAAATGGTAGACGGTTGAAGTATAATTCATGGAATGGACGAAGTAGTGAGGTCTGCACGACATGAGGAGCATAACCAACCAATTATTTAAGAAGCAAGTAGAAACAACACGAGCCCGCTTCAAAAAGAGGTCGGTACACATTGGCTAAAATATCGATGTGCGGTACTTGTCGTTTATATTGAAGCAGTAGTAAAAATAAAAATAAAGCATAAAGCTCTCAGAGTTGATCAATCCCTGAGAGATGCGCCATGCATTCGACTTCAATAAGCATCGTTTCGAGGTGATTGAATGGATATCTGGCCTTTATAATGACTCGCCGTGTCCTACCGATGTATCGAGCCAGTACTGCTATCCTCCCGGACGAGTCTCGTACCAATTTTCCGACTCCAAATCCATGCAAGGCTTGGTGGGCTGTGGGCACAAGGATCGATTCCACGTGTGTGTTGCACAGCGCCTCCGACCACTCCGCCACACTCGCTGGAACAGTAATGGTCCTTTAAAACTATGGAATCGTAATAGTTTTGCTACAATAGGATAGATGAGCATAAACGCATCGTTTTCCGTTGACGCAAAAAAGCTTGAGAACGATGGAGTTTTAGTGATTTGAGATAATTTGAAAAATACCTGAGACTGAACTCGGCTGACGGAAGACTGTCGTTTCAACTGCTTAAGTAGAAGGAAATCATTTCCACTTCTCCGATAGCTAATAATTCCTAATGTTTTTATTCTTGTGCGGCTGGTCATTCAATTGATGTTTGCTTACTCATTTCTCTCGACGTACAACAATGATCATGAAAACCTACTGCATCTGTGGCACGTCACCTGCACAATATATATGTAAATGCATGAGCTGTTTCTAAACAGATCTCATTACGAAAACATGAGATTGAATCCTTTTTTATCTACGTAAAGCGTCGAAAAGATCACTTCAGTTTTTCTGAAAATGTACGTACCGGGATTCTAGGTAAGGTGTTAGTGCTTCTCATTGTCACTTTGTTATTTGTAAAGCGAAGTTTTGTGATTGTATGCTGAAAATTCCTTCATTTTATCAAAGGATGAGAAAGGATAGACCGTTCAGCTTTGACTCATCTTCTAAGAGTACGGTTCGAATTTAACACAATTCGTTAATGTTACAGAGGTGAACAAATGCATAGTTAACCTGCATAAGGATCTGTAGAAGCCTATCCATCTGTAAAGTCGGCTTATTACAGGATGCAAGACAGTTCTTGAATTGGGGTCACTTCGGCGATGATATAATTCAATATAGAAGGATAGCGCTGG